CTTGGGGCAGTAATGGGCTGAATAGATGTGAGTCACTGCCACTGTCCAACCTGGGAGCTGGCAGCACTGGCAAGGGAGCAGGAGCTCTATACGGCCGGGTAAATCATGCGTAAAAGAGACATCTGCAGGAACAGATTGGATAAATCCTATGGATATCACAGAGCTTGCACAGAGCCACTATGTCCCAACAATGGTCCCTCCCTCCTCTTTGCGCTGACGCCAGGGGCTGGCACTGCTGCCACCCATGTTCCCTCCCCTCATCCCACCACACAGGTCAAGAATAAAAAACACAGACCCAGTGTTGTATAGACAAACTGGTCAGTCTCTGTTGCTCAGTTTTCCTCAGACCCTTCTTATTATCTGTGTTGCAATGGATAACAGAATATGCAGTGTAGTACTTTCATTTTTTTACTTATCAATGAATTCCCCATACAAAATACACTTTCAGAACATTCCAGCCTTTAAAAATCAAATGTTTGTTGAAAATCTTTCTAACAAGCAGCATACATAAAGCATATGCGTTTGACAGGAAAAATAATCTCCTCTTCCCAATCAGAAACAATCTGCATATCTGATGTTACATGACATCTCAGAAAAATGCATCCTGTTCTTTTACCACTTTCACTACAGCAAGATAGGAGACATGTATAGCATATGATATTAGCAATTCAAGACAGGGCCATACTGAGGTATACACATATGCCGAAATTTGAGATATATATAAAGAGAAAGGCTTGGGACTCAGTGAAGGAAAAATACAGTGGAAAGTACAAAAAGTAGAAGTAAGAGAAATTATGCAAGAGATTAATTTGTCATTCAGATAGTTCTGAGGATAATCTTCGTCTTCTGGGATGAAAATGCAGAGCCAGGGGGTTCAAAGGCTTCTACTAAGGACACAATTCAAGTTCAGTCTGTAAGCTTCATACAAGTTTTATTGGAAACAGTAAAATATACTACAGGAGAGCCATGGATACTGTGTCCCTGGATATCACCTGTAATAACCTAGGAATTTTACTAAACGAGTGAAAATAAAAAAGAGGATTAACTGGTCAGTCAGTAGCCAAGAAATACATTCTTCAAAGGAAGTAAGTTATATCAATATTTAGGTTCAGCCTCTCCGGTATTCACACTCATCTAAACCACATAAGCTTTGTGTTTTTGCTCTTGCATCAGCTTTTTGCCAGACTTAATCTATGCAGTTCTGCTCTGAAGAGCCTGGCACCCCAAAATGGAGTTGGCCAGTGGGGTGCCCAGTACCTCTACAGAGGTGGGAGCTCTGCCACTGCAGGCAGTAGCCAGGAGTGGGGACTTCCTGTGGCCACCAGCTGCACAGTGCTCCTGGAGGCAGTAGTTGGCAGTAGCAAAAACTTATCTCCAAGAGTGTCACAAAAACTTGTAGGATTTGGATCTCAGGAGTCCCAGAATTGCTCAGAACTCCTACCAGTTTTTCACAGTATAAATAACATCAGTGGATTTTGTCTGACTTCAAAATTGCCCATGGTGGCCACGGTGGTGACAAACTGCTCCTTCAGGTACCCATGAGATGCTGCTGCCACAGACAGACAACAGGAAGAACAGACCCAAGGACCTTTCCCATTAGGAGTCCAATCTCCTATACTGCATGTCTCAGCACAGTAGATAGTGGGACACATGGTTATTCTTCCATAACCATCTTCATCTGGATGCATTTACACAGGGTGTGTAACACAGTGAATTCCCAGCTGCCAGTTTCTTTTTCCACCAGCTTAATTCCAAGACTCCATTTGTTACTAAGCATTCTTGATAAAAAAAAATGTAGGACCTTCATCTGGCTTGTCTCATCTTTCCAACCTGTATCCAGGGTGCAAGCAAAAAGCAGCCTAACACATATTTTTTGTAGCACAGCGTATAGTTGATGTTATAGGTGTAGAGGGTAAGGCAAATGGGGCTGCTTTACAGCACAGGTGTGAGGAATTACATGTGTAATTGCCAGGAAGAGCACTTAAGAGGGAGAGAGGAGGGTGTGAAGGGAGAGCTGGTGTGGAGGCAGGTATGTGCATGTGGTTGGGGAGGGTGGGCTCTCCTGAGGCAGTTGTGCAAGCTTTGTTGTAACTGGCAATGCTACTGTAGGTGTCTTTTTTTTCTTTTTTTAATTTTTTTTTTTTTTTTTTTTTTTTGTCCTTGCTATAAGTCTAGGCCCTCTTCCAGATTATGGCTAGGCAAGGACTTTATGGTCAAGGCTATGTTCACCTTCTCCTGTACCTGGCTCTTGGCAGTGTGACTGGGACTCAGTAGGCTGTTGTGCAGAGGCATCTTTTTCATGAGGAACCTTGGTTATTTGGCTCTGCTCTGCCTTTGTCCTCTTCTTTTTGCCAGAGGTGCTTTTAAGAAAGATAGGCTTATGAAGAAACTGCATCCACTAAGTATTAAATAGTTTTTAAATCAAGAACTCCCAAGGATAAAAATTTTCCAGAGGAGAGTCTTTCACTTGCCAAGTGATAATGAATTCATCCAAGCAAACCTCTGCAGATACTGCTGTTCTGGTGCTTTGTGTTACTTCCTTCTAATTCTGATGTTACCTTCGTAGTCTTTTTTCTTTCTTCTTTTTTTTTTTTTTCCTAAAAGATAAATATAAGGGGAGCACGAGTGAGTTGTTCCACTAAGAATTTCTTAGTTAATATGTATGTCTTACAGCAAGTTCCCCCAAAAGATATGCTTATATTAACATTAGTAGAGGGCTTGGATTTAACTCACAGCGATAAAGTTGATGATCCCTGCCTCCTCTCTGGAGATAGGTGTACTGAATGTGCTTTTCTGTTCTCCTTTTGATCCATCTAGTTACAGGTCCCACTCTTGGGAAGACCTCCTGTATGTTATAGCATTTGGCACAGAATCTCTTCCAAGTTCTCTGCCTAGTTTTTGCAAGCTGTGACGCTCCACCTGGGGCTGGAGGTGAGGAAGGAACAAGAAAAGCTTTACCCTGTGACCTCATCTCATGGAGAGTTTATGCTTTCTCTGGCTGCAATAGCAGATTTTAATAGCTTGTAACTGTGAGACTGTCATGAATATATTGTTTCTGTTTGCATTGTTTTCTTTTTAAATCCAATCATAGTTAATTTTTTGAGAATGAGAACGAATTGTCAGAGCTCCTGGAATCTTCCTCAAATAAAGCTATGAGGTATTAATTCCTTTGTGAAAATCTTGTCCCTTCATGTAGACAGCTGGCTCAGACGAAGGAGTCTGAATAACATTGAAAATAGAAACAGCACAAGCACAGCTACTGGAATTGTCATTTTCCAAGGGCATGCTTGGAAATCTTATTTCTTGTTTTTTCAGAAAGTTGTACTTTCATCCTTTTTTACTGATAGAACCAGTGACCTTGGAATGGACTTTTTTTTTTTTAATTAAAATTATAGAAGTTTGTTGTGAAATTAAAAATACCAGTAAGAATGGTATTAGGAGACTTGTTTGTTCTGGGGGGGAGTACTTACCCCAGTTTTTTCCATAATCTCCCTGGAATGGTATTAGTTTTTATTATCATAAACTTAATTATGAGGGATTACTTGAATTGCTACACATTGTGTTTACAAGCTTGATTTTGAGGTTTGTGCTTACAGACACAAATGTCATTTTGGTACGTGGCATGAGCAAGTGGAGCCCATTTTCTAGAACAAGGGGGAACAGCCTACTCCAAATTCTACAGGTTTTTGGGACACAGAACAAGAAGTCTCTTTCTTTTGTCCAGTGTGTTCATAATTCTCTTGTCTCTTGTCAGGTGAGTAAGAACTCAAAAGTATTCTTCCTTTTTTTCTAGTAAAGAAAACCTTGAATAAGACAGAGGTGAAATAATCTAATTTAAGAGTGAGGAGAACGTCCTTTATGCAATTCTGTCTCTATTATCACAAGGCAATGTCAGCTATTGACACCTGGTCAAATTGCTACCTTGACACCTGTTTAGTTATGACATGGTGTTTATGAACAGACAGTAACTCTACCCTCCAGTATTTTGTGGATTAGCTCTATGAAAATGTTCCTCTGTAAATACCCGTCATAAACCATATAGGTGAGAAAACAGAGTGGGTAGACCCAGGAAGAGTATGTGGAATCTTTCCTGGCCCAAGGAGAAGCTTCTCCAGCCTTGATTGAGAGTCAGGTGATATGCCTCTTTGTAGCACCATTGCAATGGTTGAGTCGGTTAATTTTAATTCCTCTGACTCTTCAATATCCTTCTGGATATACAGCAGCCTGAGGAGGACTGGAAACAACCAGTGAAATTGTAGCTTTTTTCTTTTTTTTTTTTTTTTTTTTTTTTTCAGTCCAAGTGTCCCATCTGGTAACTTCTTGCATTTTCAACTGCATATTGATAATTTTCCTCTGTGATGCTTCCTTTCAATTTGTTGACATGCTTGAAGCAGAGCTGCTTTTATTCCTCTTCTTCCTGTGTTGCATTCCCAATATCAAAATTCTGGTTCTTTTACCCCACATCCGTTACATTTCTGAGGTCATAGTGTAGCATGACAGTGCATTACTACTTTTTATTATATATATTGGAGGTGCAGCTGGCACATCATAGTGTTATAGAGATGCCCAACAACAACTTGATATTAAAGCGAAGTACTTTCTCCCTGTGTGAACACCTTCTGTGTGAAAAGTAATCAACTGTAGGCTTAAGCAGAGCATTAAAAATCTCTTCCCTTGGCAGTGGTGAGCCTAGTGTTTACTGAAAAATGTCTTCTTTACCTTTAAACCGTGTATCAGAAGCCTGTTCAGGCTCTTCTTAAGATAAGGCTTATGATTATTTAAAAAAATCTCTACACTTTTTAACAAAGATTTCTTCGAAGAGTACAAAACAAGAGGTGATGTTTTAATGAGTGAGATTCGTGCCAATTGACTGTTGATTTAAGGGAAATTTTGCCGACTGCCTCATGCATTATTCAGTTCCAATTTCAAAATATCATTATATACAATTCTTGGTTTCAAGAGGTGATTCTTTCTGCCTCGGTTTTCAAATGCCTGATAACAAGGAAGACTGCTGCCTTATTCATGTGTGCTTGGCTAAATGACTGTACTTGTTCTTATCAGGATAGAGATTTTTGAGGACCTGGATTGATCTCAGGCTGGTGCATCCACTGAAATCAAATGGATGGCTGAGGATTTGATGGAGAATGGAGTTCTGTGCCAGGAGAATGGACTTCCTCTGTTTACATATTCCTTCCTTCATCCAAAACCTCATTATATTCTTGCCAGAAAGTTTTGACTACGAACTTAATTTTGATAAACTTGTTTAATTGTAAACTTTCTTGTTTACAAACTTGGGATGGTGTACTGGAAATGTAGAAGGTGTAAAAGTACAAGGATGCCAGAGAAAAGGTTATTGGTTCTTGTTGATTCAAGACTGATACATTTGGGTGAGAATTCTGAGAGTGCTAGGGGGCCAGGGCTAGAACTCAGGACTGGCCCAAGATCTCTTTTCTCTGTACTTCTCTTCATCTCTTTCTCTTTTCTTTCTTTTTCTGTTGTAGAGTAATTGCAAGGCTCATTTTCATTTCTTATCAAGCCATACAGTTTAGCCATAGAGCTTAACAAAAAATTTAATTGTTGAAGTGGCAATACTACTGGGATAATAAATATAAATAATTTTATTAATATTATAAATTATATTAAATATAATTATAATTATAAATTTTATTAAATATAAATACTGGGATAACTGTAGCACAGAGATTCTCATTAAAATTGATGATTTTGTGTGGATGTCTAAGTATTGTTCTTACCTTAATTGACCAGGAGTACTGGTGAATCTGGTCACCCCTTCCCTCCCTTTACAGGTAACATGTGAAGTTAATTTGGTGTAGTCAGCAGGATGTCATTAGTGTTAAGAGGTCCAGAAGTTACCTCTCAGCTGTATACCAGGAAGGCTGTAAGTTGGGAAAGGTATGAGCACTGGCAAGCCATGGCTACCTGGGAAATGCTGGTGCTTGGCTGCTTCTCTCTTTCTAAGCAGTTGAAAAAGTATAGTGCACGCCTTTCCCCACTGGGGTGATTTGGGAACAGTACAATTGACATTATCCCAATGCTTTAGTGGAAAGAAATGCTACACTTGTGAAAGAAGAAAAAATTGCAGCCAAGGAAAGGAGAAGCCATAGCATATCCTGTAGTGGGAGCTGCACTGATAACAGCCAAAGAGGAGAGGCATCTGATTAAACAAATGTTTAAATCCTTGCAGGAGCAAATGAAAGCCCTGTGGACAGTGGCCTGTAATTAGGGAATGGTGTAACATCATTATTTTGGCTTCTGGCGTATGCCACATACAATTAGTACAGCATAATGTCCTTAAAGCCCAGCCTCTACATTTGCAAAATAATAAAAGTTTATGGGATTTTTTTGCAATTAGACTGCACTAGTTGGTTCCAGATCTCTAAGGCAAAACAGTTCTATTAGTAAGAGTTGAGACAGTATCAGGGCTAACGCAAGCTCAAGTGGTCTTACAGATTTCAAAGGATAATACCATTGGGATTTGAAAACTTGCTATTTGCCCAAATTGTTCCAATCATGTAAAGGAAACTACTTTACTGCTGGAGTGGTCCAAGGGTTGGCACAGAATACAGGAAACCAGTGGATTTTTCATATGTCACATAATCCCCAGGCTAATGATACTACTGAATATACTAATGGCCTTTTGAAACAGGCATTGAGAAGCCCCATCCTTAGTTCCAGGAAAGAAGGAAACTAAAGATAGTGTAAGCTAGCTCCACTTTTAAAAACAACCAGTCTTAGGGGAAAGGCTATTGGATCAATACCCAAAGGATAATCCCAATGTTTTAACCATCTATGCAGATCCAACTGTGATAGAATTGTTCCATCTGTTATTTTATTACATGCTAAATATGTTTTTATAGGTGTGTTTACTGTTGCGTATTTTCCACCAAAAAAGTAGTTATGACATTGGTGGTGGTTCCACTTTTTTGTAAAATTAACAAATACTACCATTATTATCAGCTTGTATACAACTTCTGTCACCATATAGAAAGTTCAAAATAAACACAGGGCAAAAAGCCTCTCCACCATCCAGCTACTGTTCCAAAATGCTTCACAGCAGCTGAGTTATGAAGAGTTTTAAGGAGGGATAATGAAGTACCTTTCCAGGTATTTCTAAAGTGCTCTTCCCAAGATACCATGAAGTTACTTGTTTAAAACAGTTGGGTGATGGAAACTAATGTGAAGTGGATGGGAAAAGACTGAGCTCTTGTTATACCAGGATGGATATTACAGTAGATGTTCTGCTGAATGCAAATCAGTTTGATGCTTTTATATAGGGTAGCAATTAAGTGGGTGCATAGAGAGAAGTGTGGTCAGCATAGTGGGTCAGTAAAATGTTTTTTTTACTTCAGTGTTCTGTGTTTATATCACTGGAGCAGGATTGCTTTTGTCAGAGCAGTAGAAGAACAGTTCTACAGAGATAGCCCAAAAACTGGGAGTCAGGCCAATATGTAAGGGAAAGAGGAGTTGCATCATGAGCATATCTTCTGGATTAGTTCTGCACAACTTAAAGTAAAACTGCTGCAAAAAAGCTTATCTTCTGAAACATCTTTTGAGAATTAGTCTGGAAAGAAATAGTCCTTCTGAACTGTAGAGTGCCTTCTTTTCCTGTATATCATCTGTAATGCCATTGCTTGGCAATTCCTATTTCTACCAAACATCTCTGCTACTTGCAGTGGGCAATAAAATAATTGGTTTTGCTTCCTCAATCACACCTTTTACTTTTTAAGTGTTTTTAACTAGCTTTCTGATACTGTTAGTGGGGGAAAAAAACCCTATAATTAGCAATGTAAATCAAATACAAAGTGATGCCTTGCCTTTTAACCTTTTTATTGAGGAAACAATGCTGTGAGGTTAACTTTTTTCTTTCTGTAAGTACTATAAGAAGGAATTCAGATTTTCAGTGACTACTACCAGTCTTAGAATCATAGAATGGCTGGGATCTGAAGGGACCTTAAAGATGATCCTGTTCCAACCCCCTGCTGTGGGCAGGATTGACAACCACTTAAATGAGACACCAGATCAGGCTTCTCAGGACTCAATCCAACCCAACTCTGAATGCCTCCAGGGATGTTTATAATAACAGCAGCCTTGCTATTAGCAGATACTGGCTTATGTTGTGATTACACAGGATATCTTAAGAAATCAGTAAACCAATTAATGTCATAGGATGTGTTTAAAGTAAGAAGGTAGAAATACTACTGCTAGCTGGAGAAAGGGCTATGGCTATAGTAAAGGGTAATATTTGAATATAGAAAGTCCATTTTAATAACCATGTTCTCAAATAAAGGGGCAGAGGTGTCAGGGCAATTCAGTGTTACTATGGTTTAATAGTTGACACGAAAGTACTGCTGTTTTGATGCCTATTTTAAGTTACTTTATAATCTTCTGTGGTCTCTTTACTGTTGGATATTGCCTCAGCAAATGCTGGCACAGAACTGTGGTAGTTCAGTATGAATCATGAAGGTGGAAGTGTTGTCAGAGGATTATGGAGTTGAAAAACAAACACTCTTTGAGGAAATGTCTCTAGGAGTTGGGAGAAACATAACTTTCATAATGTCAGGAAAGCTCTTAAAAAGAAATTCTTAAAATAGCCATCTTTTGGATGTAGACTAAAGTTTCAGTATAGGCTAGATTCTAGTTCTGTGGAAAAAAAGATTTGTCCAATCTCTAACAAGGTACACTTTTTTCCTTGTATTTCTTAAATCTACTATGACTATATAAATACTGTGGATGTAGCAGTCAAAAGTATGAAGTCCTTCAGGAACTTAGCTAATTCTGTACACCTTCAAATAAGATTTAACACCTAGCCATCTAAACCTACTGATTTGCAGTAGGTAAAAGGAATCACTTACGCAGGCTGCATGTGACCTGGCACAGCTCATGCTGTGGCCAACTCCCTTCCTCCATCCAGTACTTCTCCTCATGCCTTATTCATGCCATCCTTTTTTTTTTTTTTTTTTTTTAACAATATGTATGTCTGTAAATAATTGCTCTCAAGGATGAAGAACAACAGGAGTGAAATATCATCAAAAGTCTGGTGAACACCTCAAGAACTCACTAAGAATTGCAATCACTCCTGTTGAAACAGACAGATGTATTAGTTTCAGAACAAGAACAAATATCCCATAAGTTTTACTGTTTTCTTGCTTTTCTAAAAATGCTTTAGTATGAAATTGCAATGGATTTGCCAGGTCACAGCCTGAGCCAATGGTTGAGTGAGAAAGCTAACCCAGGAGCTCCGGTGCAAGCAATGCAGCTGAGTGATCAGAAGGGATGGAGCCTGGATCCAGGCTGCACTCCTCACCCTCATTTAAGGGTTAGCAACTAAGGAAGTAGCTTGTTTCTGGATGGAGATAACACCCGCCTTGAGGTGTCATCAGGAAAGATGAGCCAATTTTCCTTCTTTTTTATCTGCTGTTGCTCTATAGTGTTTGTATGTCGTTAAAAGGCACTATCATCACCTTCTTTTGCCATTTGAAAATACATGTAACAAAGAAGTTTTGCTACTTGTGTAATTAACTATATTATATATTTTATGTGCAACCCAATTCTTCACTTAATACAGCATAGACCAGCTAAATGGTTGGACAATTATCACTTGCTGAAGTGAAATGCTTACAGAACAACAGAAAACATTAAATGAATCTCAGACTCTTCCCGCTTTACAGCAAGCTTAGGAAAATATTAATTTTAAACTAGCACAACTAGAGTGTTCAAAAGTACTCTTACACACAGTCATTGTTGTCTGTCTATAACCTCTCTCTGACATTTCAGCTGCAAACCTTTTTGAAAGTGGGTAAGGAACTGATTAATGGTGCAGGTTTATGGAGATAAACTCAAGTCAATTAAGTCCCGGGAGGGTCCATCAATTAGTGTCACTCAGGAAACCCTTTTTTCACTTACTATAATGGAAGATAGCACTCATTCAATGTTCAAGAAACTTTTGCCATATTGCATTATATTGCAAAAATATATCCTTTTGCAATATAAATCTTATAGCCACTGAAATGCTTATTCTTCCAAAACAAGCATGAATAATGTTGTTTTACTAGCTTTCTAATTTCTGTCTCTTTCACACTGGCTGATATAATGATAACTATAGGCTTTTGGACTGGGAGATGTGTGGAGAAAAAATTGCTCTATTCTGGTGCAGTAAGTCCAGTTAAGTGTTTTGAAGGTAAGTTTTGAATCATTGGATGTATTGTGAGAGCTATCAAACTGATTCTCTCTTGAAAACCATGTGCGATAGAGGCAATTGTTTAAAATCTGTTGATTGCTAAATAGGAGGCTTGATTTGTCACCTTCTCATGCAGCAATCAGATGAAACCTTGCAAATGATGTGGGAAATTAGTCTCAATGAGGAGGTGAGAAGCACCTAACAATAACCCTTCAAAATTTTGGGAAACGAGGCTTCCATTTTTAAAAATTAATTTTTATTTTATTCTCATTGCTCATTTTTGGAAGATAATCTGTATAGGGAAGATATTCTGATTTGAAAGATCATTGCCACGAAGAGGGCGCGTGGAGGACAGTTACTAGCTTTGCCTTCTCTTGTGAGTCCTCTTGCATAGG